TGAGTATCAGATTGCTATAATTGGGATTATTTAGTCATATTGAAAGAAAGAATATTGAACGTCGTATGATTACTCAGCGCTTCACAATTTAATTTAAAGTTATAAACCTTTAAAAAATGAATGATCAGGAACCTGAAATACGCGCAAATATTAATATTAACAAATTATAACTTTATAAAGCTTAAAGTATGAATTAAAATGATTAGAAATATTAGGAACGGTACACAATATAAAACTTAGTAACTTTTTTTAAGTTTATAATATTCGACATATTTTAAGATTATATTAAAAAATTATTGAAATATCGAAAACACATAAAAACATGGCTTAAAAAAGTTCTAACAAATGAAAATGACAATAAAACATCCACGCATTTTATCGAAAGTTATAAAAGTTTCTTTACTTGTAATATGTTTTATCTGCCCCCTGGAATTAATGTTTAGAACCTTGTTCCCAAGGTTTGAAAAACATCCGATTGTTGTCTATTACTCGTATTTACCTGCTGGATTTTTTAATCCGGTGGACAGTCCATCTAGAAAGGCCCTCCTGGATGAAGTTACAGAATCTTCAACCCATACTTTACTTGTAGTGTGTCCTGCGTTTACCCACGTTTCATCAAGGTAATAAATCTTCCTGTTTTGATTTCTATATTTCCCAATTTTTGTTAAATAATCCCTCCTCCATAGCACAATTTCTTCTCTATCCAGTAGTAAACTATTACGACCCCGTTTTTTCCATTTGAAATTTAAATGCTTCAGTAACGCATGGAAAGTTGATCGTTTGAAATTTGGCAACGTTGTATCTCCATTTACCTCCTGCAGTACTTTATCTATAGTAGGTATTTCATTCCTAAAGAAGAATTTATGCACTTTCCTTCTAATCGCATGCTTATCAGCTTCATCCAATGATTTAACAATACTTTTGCGATGTTTACTGGTCATTGGCTCAGAAAAGGTGTGATTTCTTTTGTATTGTCTTAACACATTAAACACTGATGCGCGACACACCCCAACTTTGTGAGAAACCTTCACAACAATTTCTTTGATGGTTGATGCCCCGTTCTCCTCGCGCTCGATCTTATATATATTCAAAATGATCTCTTTCATTTCTGCACTCAGGTGTCTTTTTTTAGAGCGTTTCCTAGGTGGACTACAGGAGTAACAATAACAACGACAAACTCAACAACTTAATAAGATAACAAACGAAAACGTCCAAAGAAATATGAAATTGCAATGATGCACACGACATACATAACACGTCTGAACCTGAATGTGACTCTGCCTTGATACGACTGCTCTGCCGCTCGGCATAGGCATTTAATTGCGAATTGACCAATGAGGGCTCCTGTTTTACTTCGAGACGGCGGCGTTAGCGTGAAAATCACCCGAACCTTTTGTTTACGTACGTCTATCTCTTATCTGAATATACTGTAGCAATTTCACTGTTTGAGCAGATTCCAACTCATGACTGCGTAAGCTCAGTATTATAGACTGAGTTTTATCAGTGTTGAGCAATAGCATCTTGGCAGCAAACCAATCCTCAAGGTCCGACTTACACAATGAACTAGTTTCGACAAGGGTGTTTACATATTTATTAGAATTTACCAAAGTAGTGTCATCAGCATATAAGAACAAAGCAGCATTGTGCGTATCTGGCTATTGGGGATATCATTAATGTATAATAAAAACAGCAGTGGTCCCAGTACGGAACCCTGAGGAACTCCATGGATCACTGATCTGGTATCAGAGTTACAGCCATTGAAATGTACTAGTTGTTCTCTGTCGGATAAGTAAGAGTGTAAAATCTTGATGCTAGAAGGATGAATGTGATAATAAGGTAATTTTTTTATTAAAATACTATGTTGCAGACAATCAAAAGCCTTAGATAAATCGAAAAGGCCCGGCTTGGTATGTAGATGGTTCTCAAATCCTTCGTTAACAGGTTCTATAAGACAATTGATTTCAATCAGGTTCACTTGCAGTCGCTGTGTGTGTTGCCTAAACGTCAAGATACTTGAGCTCTGATGTTATGTAACATCTGCTTCAGGAATGGGACTAGTTTCTATGGCCAAAGTTCTATACAACAGAGCGTCATTCCTCCATAGGTGGCGTTCACAGCTAGTATGCATGGCGTGGGCTTGCGACTAGCTATAGTCAACGCCAAACAAAGTGGCGTGCACGTCGTCACGATAAAAATTCCCCGACCTAATGCCTAGGTTTCTGTCACAAACAATTGCTCTATTGCAGTTTCATATTAATGTGATATATAAATTGTAAAATGGTCATTACTCTCTTATTATGGTTAATAGTCATATAAACATTGTTATTAAAATATCACATAAGTTGCTTTCTGATAAATTTAGACGCATTATGCGAAATAAAATGTTTTGCAAACGCTCCAATCACTTATCGACATGTAAACGCACTAAACCGATTTCGCAGCGTTGACACATTGTCACCTTGAAACTTATTTAAACTGGGAACTGACATTTGTATTAATTTTGACACTGAATCAATTTGTGGCATTTCAAATTTTTATAAATCCTTTGGCCCCGCATACTGTAAATCAACAACTGTTTGTTTCAAAACAAAATTATTCATTTTACGAGTAGATAAAGGCAATTTTGGTATATAAAGATGCCCAAACAGTTAAATAGTCGGTGTAAGGAACTCGTGGCCTCGTTAATGCACTACTTTGAGCAAGAAAGGGACAACAACGGGCCTTTGTTGCCTTTAAATGCTGTTCAAGAGGTAGGTTACTAATAATTATATGTAATGTATATTAATAATAGTGAAATTTTATTTCATTTTTTGTAGCGTGTTGCTGCTGCTTTAAAAATTAGTTTAAGGACAGTTAGTCGTATTTCCGAGGGTGTGAAAAGTGATGCAAATTTAGAATCGCCCAAGAAAAAGCGGAGTTATATTAAACGTGTAACCAACACAGCGACATTGGATACAAGTGCCATTCGAGAAGTGATCTATAATATGTATCACAAAAGTAAGATCTTATTATAATAACTTATCAGAAATTTGCATTAATTTGTTAACTAAATTATAATGTCATATTACACATGGTTTCAGAAGAACAAGTTACGATACAAACTTTATGGTCTCGAATAAGAGATAGGGCATTATTTGATGGTAGTGCCACGTCTTTAAGGCGGTTGCTTAGAGATCTTGGATTTAAGTGGCTTAAGGACAATCCGCGACGAGGGCTCATGGAACTACCAAGTATAGCTTTGAAAAGGGTGGAATTTCTAAGGCAATACAATCAAGCCAAGGTTGAGGCCTTATACCAGTTTGTCTTCCTCGATGAAACTTGGATATTTCAAAATGGGACCATAGGTCGCTCTTGGCAAAATGGAAACCAAAAAAGCGTGAAAGCTATTAAAACAGATGGTAAAAGGTATGTACTTTTACACAATTTGCACTATAAAATATATTACATGCTGGAAATGAAAATGGGTTTATTGAGGGTAGTGAAGCGATATTTTCTTCGAAAACAAAATTGAGCGATTACCATGGAGAGATGAACCAGGACAATTTTTTGAAATGGTTTCAACATCAGTTATTAGAAAAATTGGAGAGTCCATCTATGATTATACTGGATAACGCCCCTTATCACAGCATGATATTGAACAAAGTGCCCAACAATGCATGGACAAAAAAAAATATCCAAGACTGGTTGACAAATCAAAACATACCATTTTTAAACACAATGTTTAAAACAGAGCTATTGAGTATTGTTGCTCGGTACATAATGCTTCTTAATTATATATATTTTGGTCGACAGTTTATATTTCTTTTGTTTATTCCTATTCTTAAAATAACTGCTTTTTTAGAAACAAACCACCTAAAATATACGTGATTGATGAATTGGCGGAACAACATGGGCACAAAGTTCTTCGTCTGCCTCCTTACCATTGTATATTTAACCCTATTGAGTTAATTTGGGGCATAGCAAAAGGTTACTATAACAGACATATTGGTAGAGATGGTAACAGTGAAAAAGACTGTTTGGATATGTGGAACGAGGCTCTACAAACGGTTACCCCAGACATGTGGAAAAATAGTGTTCGACATACTGAGCAAGAAATTTTTAAATGGTATGAAAGAGAACGAATTTTTGATCGACCAGACATCGAACCTTTAATAATCAACTTTGAGAGTGATGAAGATTCAGATTCAGACAGCGCTGAAGAAAGAAACTCCGACTAACTTTATTGTACAGAAAAAGCTTACACCAGTAGCTTACCTAATTTTAGAATGCATTTTTCTGTATGAATTCTGTAAAATAAATACCATGCATAAAATTTGGAGGACCCCATTTGGATTTTTATTCAGTACCTTTAAGCTATCAATTAAATATGGTAGTTTCATAGTGTCATCTGATCAATAATTGTCATACTTAATGATTATGCAAGTACAGATCTATAATTTTATTATACTATTATTTTTGTTCTCATTTGAGGTTAATATTGCTTATAAACCTAGATATGTAAATAATAAATTTTATTATTTTACAAAAAGTTTGGCAACAATGTAAATTTTTCAACACACCCACCTTGATGACGTGCACGCCACTTTGTTTGGCGTTGACTATAGTTGACAAGTGACAAGTATGACGATCAGATCGCTATCGTAGCGACTGTTTTACGTAGTACTGGTGTCGAGATCATTCTCGCATTGATAACCAAGACAAAAGCAATATGTTAATGTAGAACAAACATCTAATTTAATTGAGGATATAATAGCAATAGTAAGTTCGCAGTAAAGCTTGTCACCCACTTTGTACAATGGATTACCTTCTTTCCAATTTTGAATTGACTTAGCGGGATGTATTTGAGGTATAAACTAACGTTTTTCAATTTAACGACAAATAGAAAGAAACACGGGACGTGAATAAATACTTCAGAATGCCTCGTGATATTTTAAAAAGTGAAAGGGCTGCCCGTTATTGCAATTCAATGAATAAATGGTTTATTTGTATTACGTTTTCAGCCTATGGAAACCTGGGAAGCATACTGAGCAGCCAAGGCCGCGCAGATGAAGCTGAGCGGGCGTTTAGGATGGCGCTCGACTTCAGACCTAACATGGCGGACGTCCATTATAACCTGTAAGTCATTTTTAGAACTTTATTCTATTTTTTTAGATTCTATTAAAAAGGTTCGAATGAGACAGAACGTATGGAAGAATACTTGTAGTCTAGGATCTATTTAGCTACTCATTGGGAAAATGACCGCATGCGCTACAAGAGGTAAAATTCGAATCTCAGATAGATATCTAGTTGCAGCGACAGAAACTTATATCGTGTAATTTTTAATCAGAAACTTTTAAAATAGTAGAACATCAATGTAAAATCTACATTGCATCGAATATGTGTATGTACTCTCCACTGAGGTTTCGACCAGCAATAAATTGCACTAAACATTGTCACTATTTGTCCACGACAAGATGGCATAACTACAATTTCTATATGTCATCCAGCATAAGCTTTTTTTATACTCCAACTACCACGAAGGCCTAAGACCTAAGCACCCATGGGGTACCGTGGGGCTATAGGGAGATACAGGGTTAAGGGACTCTGGCGAGGAAACACGTGTGCATGCATCATGCACACATTCTGGCTCCGCCTACGAGATCCGCCGGGTGGTACCTCCGCTTTCGACAGTCAAAGACCGTCTACCACCTACGGGCAATCACTACATCCATAGGCAAGAGAAAAATTTCTCCTGGTACGGGACTCGAACCCGCACAGCGCTCGGCGACTGATCAGGAGACCGAAGAGTCTACTACTGCGGCCACCGCTGCTGCCTTTTCATAATGGACGCCATATTTGGACAGATAAATATAGTTTTCAATTTTCATTCTAAGAATATACAAATATACTAAGTGACATATAAATCCGAATACCCAGTTTAAATGGTTTTATTTGAATAAAATTTTGTATAAGGAGTTAATGAAACATAATAAGTAAATGATAAAAATTTCAAAATGATTGCACTGCTTTAAAGCCCTTTGACCTTTAATAATGTGTGGATGCACAGTGATGTGCTCTACGCATTCTCCAACGCGCCTAGGCATGCTTCTGATCAGGTGATCAATGTCCTCCTGTGGTATCTCATTCCAGGCAACCACCAACTCCTCCCGAAGTGCTTCTAGAGTCTGAGGAGGACGTTGCAAATTGAGCAATCTCCTACCCACCATATTCCACACGTGCTCAATTGGGGATAAGTCGGGAGATCTTGGTGGCCATGGTAACAATCTGACATCATTATGTTGAAAGAAGTCTATTGTGACTCTTGCTACATGTGGTCGGGCATTATCTTGTTGGAAAGTTGGATCTGCCAGGGTGTCAAGATAGGGTAAAAGATGGGGTTCTAGAACTTCGTGGATATAACGCTGCGCGTTCATGTTATCTCTGATGAAGATTAAAGGTGACCTGGAACCATAAGCTATAGCACCCCAAACCATAACTCCAACAGTGTGATGAACACGTCTTTCAACAAAAAACTGTGGATTCCTCCTTTCACCACGTCGCCTTCTAACCCTGGCACGACCATCGTGCATGCCTAAACAAAATCTAGACTCGTCACTAAAGACAATACTGTTCCATTCCTGATCCCAGAGTGACCGTTGTCTGCACCACTCAAGGCGATTACGTCGGTGTTCTCGATTTAAAGGGAGGACCCAGTGTGGCCGGTATGAAAACAAGCCAAAACTTCTCATTAGTCGGTAAACACATCGCATGCCAATAGGTCTTCCGTGTTCTGCAAACCAGTCATTTGCAATGGACCGGGTAGTGGAGAAACGGTCCCTTAAGGCCAATAATCTTAGGCGGCGATCTTCACGGTCTGTTGTTCTACGGCGGCGTCCAGTGCCCCTTGCTCTTTGCGTACGGCCTTCTCGAAGAAATGCCTGATAACACCTAACAACAGTGTCTACACTTCTTTGCACTCTAACTGCAATTGCCCGAAAAGAAAGTCCAGCTTCCCGAAGTCCCACTATACGGCCCCTATCAAACTCACTAAGTTGACGAAATCGTACAGGTCTCCGTACTCTAGGCATCGTAACCGATCGTAAAGGATGTCAAGAACCAAATCCGCTAACGTTGATTCTTTACTGCGGCTGAAATATTCATTTTTAGAGCGTTAGTGAATTAAAAAAAAGCAGTATAAAAACCGAAATGTCCAACTGATAAGGCTGAAAATTTTTTCACTTGTTATTCACATTCACCAACTTTTATTAAAATAAAACCATTTAAACTGGGTGTTCGGATTTATATGTCACTTAGTATGTATTCCATACATTAACATTGACAAACCTTAATTATTTCAAAAAATAGTCATTCGTTTCGGATACCGGATTTATCGCAAAACCATTATTTCTTTCCTGGTTTTATTTGAAATAGGATTTTGAAACAAATTGCATATAAGCACCAGCAGGCGAAGTCAAATTCTCAATTGGACGTTTCTCCTTTCGATCTCCATCACCAACCTTGTTTTTTCTCAAGAATTCCATATCATCATTTCGCACGATCAAACACAACTTTTGATTCTGCATTTAGTTATGAATATTTTACATTTATTTATGCCACGATAAACTTCACATATTCAGTTAAGGTAATATATTGTTAGTATGCTTTAGATGTATAAAATCTCAATATAACGTCAATATGAAAAAAAAACAAAGTTGGCAATGGAACTCGAAAGAGGAAGCCTCTAATTGAAAATTTGACAATAGACGAAACGTCATATTGAACTTCTGATTATGCCATCTTGTAGTGGAAAATAAGTTGCAATGTTAATGTGCAATTTACTTTAAAATACCACTACAAATAAAGTGAGGAAATAGTTAAAACGATTTACGCTTTTTCCGACTTTCCCCGGAATTTGAAAGCTTCCTAAGCGGCATTCTGTTGGTTACCTAAATACGCAAGAAGCGACCTCGTAAATTTTACCGTTTCCGAGATCCCAATCGTGAGGTTTTAATTTGAGACACCCGGTATAAAACTGACCGTTTGTTACCCGTCTCAGAGGCAGAAATAGACTGCGCATGAGCTTACGAGGGCTGTTCAATAAGTACACGGGTTAGAAATGAAGACACCATTTTTTCCAAAAAATTTCTTTTTATTTTTCAACATAATCCCCTTTTCCCACTTTTCCCAACGTTCCTGCCATTTTTTTGACCCCCAAAAAAATAGCATTTGAGCTAAATGTTTTCCCCGCGAGCCGTTTCTTCATGTCAGGGAACAAGAAAAAGTCGCAGGGGGCCGGATCGGGTGAACGCGGGGGATGCAGCAGCACTTCATAACGCAATTCATGCAGTCTGGCGGCGACAACTCCGGATGAACGTGCTGGTGCGTTATCGTAGTGATACAGCACCTCCTTTTTCGTCAATTTTTTGTTGAATCGGTCCAGTAACTTACTATAGTATTGTCCAGTGATCGTTCTTCCTTTTTCTACAAAATACACGAGGATGACGCCGTTCGCATCCCAAAAAATCGTCGCCATCGCCTTTCCGGCCGATGGGACCATCTTCGCCATCTTTGGAGCAGATTTACCTGAAGAAATCCATTGTCTTGATTGTTGCTTAGTTTCTGGTGTATAATGATGAATCCAGGTTTCATCGAAGGTGACAACTCGATGCAAAAACTCCGTGAGCAATCGCAGCACCCATCATGTAAACTATTGATTGCCGAATTATCGAACGATACTGCTTGCTCTTTTTCCATCTTAGCGAAGATCACGAAACACCTGTTACTCGAACGGCCGCCAAATCCAAACTAACCTATCGCCCAATCTGAAATTTGTTGTGCCGTCCTTTGATAGATGGCAGCACAGGATGATAAGCATATCCACTCATGATCATTTTCAATCTCTCTCTGAAAAATAATCACTTTCCATCTATTTGGAAGTTGCCTAGGGTAACTCCTGTTTTTAAAAAAGGTGAGAGGAAATATGTAGAAAACTATCGGCCTATCACAATTATCAGTAATTTCGCTAAAACATTCGAAATAGTGATACAAACTGTGCTATATTTTCATGTAAGCAGGTCTATCTCCGACAGTCGACACGGTTTCATGAAGGGCAGGTCCACAGTTACTAACTTGCTACATCTTACTCAATATGTATGTGAATCAATCGATAGACAACTTCAAACGGATGGAATATATACTGATTTCTCTAAAGCGTTTGATAGTTTAGACCATAACATTCTACTCAATAAGTTATCTAGATTTGGTCTTTCAGATGCATTGTTGCTATTTTTCAGATCTTATTTATGTCATAGGAAACAATAGGCTATGTGCAATGGACATAAGTCAAGCGAACACCCTGTAATGTCCGGTGTTCCTCAAGGATCTAATTTGGGACCTCTGTTATTTATTATGTTCACAAATGATATTTCTGATGTCGATTTTCTTATATATGCTGACGATATGAAACTTATCTGTAGTCTCTAACATTGACCTTTGTCATCGCTTGCAATGCAACATTGTAAGGGTTGACAGCTGGTGTCGTGAAAACAGACTTGTTTCGCATGCTGCTAAGTGTCACGTTTTGTCGTTTACTTTAAAAACAGGGGTAATGATGTATAAATATAGTATTGGTGACAGGAAACTTGACAGACCTAGTACAATTAATGACTTGGGAGTCACATTTGACAGAAAACTTTCCTTCTCCTATCACATTGAAAATGCTGTTGTGGCTGCATCAAAGGCGTATGGTTTTATTGTAAGAAATACCGGTGATTTCCACAACTCCTTTGCACTGAAAATACTGTACTATGCTTATGTAAGATCTAAGCTTGAGTATGCGTCCCGTACAAAGCTGACGGGATATATCCCACTATTGGCTGTCCTCATAGTGAGTTGATGGCGAGACACAAAATCTATAATTTAGAGAGCAGACGCAAAATGTTCATTCACAAGCTCATCCATGGCATTATTGCCTCCAGTGTCATCTTAGAACAACTTAACTTCTTAATTCCTAGATTAGCGTCACGAACTAGTTTAACTTTTTACTTAGTCAGGCCTAGGACTGACATACTTAAGTTTTCCCCTATATATACATATATAATGTGCCGTAATTATAATTCAGTTAATAGCGTTTTAGA